GTTTCAGGATTAGTCGAGCTGATCCAGCGGGTTGCTTTGGAGCAAAGGGACAGAAATTGTCCAGCTCAGAGGCAAGGGGGCTGGACTGTTGTACCCACACACACACTGACGAACACTTTTAGTTGATTATTGGCCGTGGAATTTACCTGATATAACTGGCCAGGCCTCTCCTGGTAAGGGGGCTTGGTCAAGGGGGCTTGGTCCTTCGGTCAAGGACAAGCCTTAGGAGAAGAGGGCAGCCATGAGCCGTTAGCCACCAACATCCACCACAGCTAGGGGATGGATGCGGGGACCGGGTGGGTGGACCTGGGTGGGCACCAATAGCATCTGCCAGAAGGATATGTATCACCTTGTTATCAGGGGGTATAGCTCTGGGTGATGGGGTAAAAATCATTCTTCCTTTGTGCTTTTCTGTAGTTTACAAATTTTCCAACATTGATTCTGTTATTTTTGGAACTAGAAAATACACGTTAAAGTAAATTCGTGCAGCCAAATCACCTGGTTTATTGCAGGCAAAAGTAACAGTAAATGGCCCCATATTCCTGCGGTGACATCTTGACCACACCAGGCAGATGATCCCTGCTCACTATTAGCAATGCAGTCCTAAAGCCTCGCCCTGTTTTTCTACTTGTCATCAGAGCTTCTCTGCTTAGGTACCAGGCTCAGTGGGCCAGTCCTTTAGCACTTAACAGGTGCCAATTGTATGGCTCATAATCAAGTATGTAATTAATGTGGCTAACGGAGAGGGGCACCAGGAGGAGACAAGACAGCTGGGGTTGGACCGTGAATAATAATAAGTACAATGTATGTGCCAAACATGTGGGAACCTTTGTATATGTTATCTTATTTCATCCTTACAACAGCCTATGAAGTAGGAATTGTTATTCCTATTTAATCAACGAGGAAGTCCTTGGATTGGGGATTAAGAAACCGGAGTTCTAATTTTTGATCAGCCGTCAATAAAAACTGCAAACACTGGACCAAATGAATGGTTTTCGAGCCTCTGCTGAGATGCCCAGGGAGTGGAGGAGCTGCTGAGAGGGAAGGAGTGGCCGTTTGTATCTCAGCCACAGCAGCTCTGCCTTGATCTTTAAGTATTGGCAGGACCGGCTTCAGGGTCTGCCGAGCTCAGAAGGGATTCTGTGCTTAGGACTTAATGCTCTTCAGCGTTCTGGAAATTTGTAATAATTTTATCTTTTATTCTGTGGTTTGTAAGTGAAATCCTATAGAACAGTGGAGCTCCTGCCAGGGGCTTGGAGCTCTGACTTATGCTTGGGTCCACTTCCTGTCGCCTATCTGCCTCCCTGGGATGTGTTCTCCACCACCTGCTCTTGGCCCCTGGTGCCCTCAGCCTCCTTTTTCTGCCTTAACCTCCTCCTCCTGGGTTAGCAACTGGGTTGCATTGTCGGGGGGAGAAGGAAGGGAGCCATGTTCCAGGGCCTCTAAGTCCCACAGGGGCCTGACCAGGCATATGGGGTCAGAAACATGTCCCGAAGGTGTTAGATAAGAGGGTGGCCATCCCCACACAGGCTGGAAGCACCATACTGCATTCAATGGATGCTCTTATGTACCCTCAACCCAGATACCAGGTCATGAACAACATAGAAAATGGTAACATTTTTAAAAATTTTTTTAAGTTTACTTATTTTTGAGAGAGAGAAACAGAGAGAGAGAGAGAGAGAGAGAGAGAGAGAGAGAGAGAGAGAGACAGAACATGAGCAGGGGTATGGCAGAAAGAGGGAGACACAGAATCGGAAGCAGGCTTCAGGCTCTGAGCTATCAGCACAGAGCCCAATGCTGGGCTCGAGCCCACAGACCATGAGATCATGACCGGATGCTTGACTGAGCCACCCAGGCCCCTCGAAAATGGTAACATTTGTACATCCCACTGTCATAAACAGTCAAGGTAGTACTGGCTAGCCTTGAGTCCCACTCAGGAGCCTCAAGAGCTGAAGGCAGTTCCACCCTAGACTTAGGTAGATGGGGTCTCTGCCTTGGTCTTGTGTTCCCTTTTCTGCCCCATCCCACTTGGCCCCACTCTTTCCTAGATAACAGGGTAAGTTATCCAGGGGCCAAGGGAACATACCTGCCAAAGCCCGCAGCCCTTCTTCAGCATCCGCTGCTTCCCCCCCCCCCCCAGTCCAATACAAACAAATGTGTGGTCTCACTGTGCGTGACTAATACATAGCTCACACCACTTGGGACTCACCGTGTGAATCTGACAGCCCTAGAACTGGTCCATCCGCCATTAAGTCAGAGAAGTTCAGTCACCGTCAGATGTTCCCAGCAACAGAAATTTCTAAATGCTTGCATTCAGTTTATATACTTAAGGCACAGCAGACCAGTAACAACAGTTTGGTCCCTGGATCACACGAAGAAGCTCTGTTCTAGATTATTCTATGGGTGCTGAGACTCTGGGATTACCAGCCCAAATCACACCAAGCCTGCTTCCAGGTTTTCATGGGCCTCTTCTCCCGATTCATTCACTCCCCTGGGCCAAGGGGCAGCTGTTCACAGAGAGCAGCAGGGATGGAGATTGAATACGTGTGCTGGGGTGTCCATACGCATGCGTCTGAGGCCCTTTTGGTATGGGACGGAAGGGGGTATGGAAAGAGAAGGGGAATAGGCTGCCAGCTGATGGAGGAAGGGGCCACAAGGATTTGGGGCAAGAATCCATTTCTCTGCACGTCTGGAACACATCCACAGGGCCCCCTCGTTCTACAGCCTGCCAGTCAGGAAACTCTAGCAACCATTTTCTATTGTGACTTTCAGTGTTTCGAATTCTGATTTCTATCCCATGGCCACAGCTGAGGGCCTCTTAGGTTTTTGGAGAGCAAGTGGGTGACCTGTGGATGTACGTATGTGTTCTTTGGATCACTGCTTCCTCAGGTTTGATGGGACTGTGGCCTCATCAGCTCTGCCTAGTCAACCAGCCCTCCCTCTCATTGTGTACCAAATAAACTGTGCTTCTGACACGTGCTTCTTGGCAAATAATTTCTCAACAACCTAGGAAAGGATTTTTTTTCTGTTTTCCTTAAGTGTGATTAAAAGCGAACCCAGGCTAACACCCCAAAAGAAAGATAGGCAAATGACTTGACAACTAAAACACACACACACACACACACACACACACACACACACACACACACAATTAGCCAATAGGCACACAAATAAATATGGTATCTCTACTAAATCAAGAAGTATGGATCCAAGCAATGAGATACTTTATTTTGCCTCTTAAGTTGGCAAAGATGAGAAAAAAAAAAGAATGAAAATATTCAGTGTTTTGTGAGGGTTTGAGTAATATTGCCGTTTCATATACTGTTGGTGGAGGGCAGTAGGGTAATTAGAGAAAAATTCATAGAGGTAAATCTGGCAATGCATCACAAAAGACTTTAAAATGTGCAAATCCTTTGAAATCTTGAAGACACCGGTTATATTTTCTTACATCCACTGGTAGTTGATAGTAAGTCTAATGTTGGGGCGCCTGGGTGGCTCAGTTGGTTAAGCATCCAACTTTTGATTTCTACTTGGGTCGTAATCTCGCGGTTTGTGGGTTCGAGCCCCACACCAGGCCCCACACTAACAGGCTTTCTCTCCCTCTTTCTCTGCCCCTCCCCTCCCAAAATAAATAAATAAACTTCCAAAAAAAAAAAAAAAGCGTAATGTTAATCTCATTCTTGTTTCATTTTTTTCATTTTTTTTCCCCCTCTTCTGAAGCTTTTCTCATTAATAATGGTGTTTGAAGTTTCACTCAGCTCTGTCTGGGTTGGATTTTTCTTTGTATTTGTCTTGCCAAATGTTTGGTAGGCTGTTTCAATTTGGAGTTCCGAGCGCCTAGTCAAGTTTAGATCTTTCTGGCAAGCAGCCCCTATCCTGAAGCTGTCAAGGGGACCTCCAAGAGTTGCTTCATTAGAACAGATGGTGCTCCTATCTCCTGTCACTCACAGAATTCCAAGGGATCTAGGAGCTCTGTGTCATGAACTGGGGCAAAAACCCAATGTTGTGACAAAAGATCCTCCTATCACCCCTGGCACGCAGGAGATTACCAGGGTTTTAGGAGCTCAATGCCAGGAACTGGGGGAAAAGACCACATATGTATTTCTTATTATATCCCAATATCCCACCTCACGGCCTGCTCCATCATCGCTGACTGGCCTCGGCTGGTTGCCGCTGGCCTTTCTGTGGCTGTTACAGAGCCTCTCCTGGCCTCTTGTCTCCCACCTGGTATCTCTCCCTTGTGCTTCCTGGACCACCTTTTCTCTTTTCAATCAGATACTCTCCATCCATGAATTCCTCGATGTAGCCCTCTTGCTTTTCAGTGAGGCTATTTATTTAAACTTCGCTCTATCATTTCTTGGCATTTGTCGCGGAAGGAACACATGCTCAGTCCAATGTCTTGAGATGGAATTAAGTTAAAAAAAAAAAAAAAACTCTGTATAACCAGTAATTCCACTTGTAGGATTTATACTAAGGAAATAATTAAGAATAAAGCTTTAACCCCAAGGAATTTCAACCACAGTAACATTTATTGTGAAAACAAATAACCAAACTAGAGGGGATTGAATAAATGGTGATACAGGGGCACCTGGCTGGCTCAGTTGGTTGATCGTCCGGACTCTTGATCTTGGGGTCATGAGTTCAAGCCCCATGTTGGGCATAGAGCTTTCTTAAAATAAACAAATAAGTGCATACATACATACATACATGAAAACACATCCACACGATGGCAGACTAAGTGTGTGAAAACTACTATGGTGGAATACTTAATTGCATGGAAGAATGTGATTGCTGGATTGTTAAGTAAACGTTTCAGGTTACAAAATTATTTTAAAGTCTCGTTTTTGCTAAAACACACACACATATTCTTTCAGAAAAGGGTAGCTCTGCATGGTGGGATTCTGAGGACTTATTTTCTTCTTTGCGGCTTTCTTCCTCCCACGCTCTTGGGGCCTGTTTACAGCACCTGTCACGGGTCATCCTCTGCTTCTCTCCCCAAGGTGTGCTGGAAGATGGACTGTCCTCCAACGGTGTGCCCCGATCGACAGCCCCAGGTGGAATATCCAACCCAGAGAAAAGGATGAGCTGTGGGACCCAGTGCCCGAATCCCCAGAGCCTCACCTCAGGCCCTCTGACCCAGAAACAGAATGGCCTGCGGACCACGGAGGTAGGTGACAGCCACAGAACCCACTTGGGACCGGAGAAAGGGGAGAAGCTTGCTTCAGGCCTGGGCCACACTGAGATGGTCCCCAGGGAAGGAGCAGTGACGGCTCGCCTTGCTAGTGGAAATTCTCCATGCCCCCCTGTGTGAATATTGTTGCAAAGAAAATAGCAGGACCCACTCCACCCCACTCCCTGCCTTGAGGGTTGCTGTGTTTTTTTTGAATCAGGGGAAATGGGCCCTTGCTAGCTGCACTCTCAAGAAAAAAACGTGTGTTTAAAGACAGCTTTGCTCGGGATCTCCTCTTCACCACAGCTCTCACCGTGTTGACACTGGGGGCTGTACTGGTTCCTGTAACCAGTCTTAGGCCAGGCAGTTGGCAGGGCTCAGGGTAGACAGGGAAGGAGAGAGAAAACCGGTGTGGTAGGAGGCGAGCCAGACATTTTACCGCACACCCTTTCACCAGGCAGGCAGTGGGAGCGTCCCCAAGGGGGTCTGTCACTGCAGAATGTGGTGGCGGCATTACCCGCAGACTATTAGTGTCTGACTATGGCATCCCTGAGCCAGCTGGCATCCTTTGGATTCTTCCCTTGCCTCCAGAGCTCTTGTTGGGACGTGCTCCCCCTGCTGGCACTAGCTCCTCCCAGGGGAAAGAATGCCCTTAGAAGGCCCACAGCAGCCTCCAGGGTGGGGGAGCGGGGTAGAGGGAGTGGGGTGGAGGGAGTGGGGGGGGGGGCTTCTCCTCTTACTCCCTTCCTCCCTCACCCCCTCCTCTTCCCCATGCCCCACCCTCCTCAGAGTCCACTGCTCACCGGATGCTGATTTTCCAAACCCAATCCCACCTCCCCCCTCCACCTCCCCTGTCAAAACGTACTGGTCCTAGCCCTCAGACTGGTGCCACCTGTTTTCTGAGGCTGCAGCCGGTCCTCTGATGATAGAATTCTTGCTCACACGAGTGAGTTACCTCTTTAACCCTTGGTTAGAAAACCTGTTGCAAATTCAGCTCTGATGCTCATTAACTAAGTGGCCTGGCAGGAACCACTTAATCTCTCAGAGTCTCGGGTTCCTTATCCACACAACAGAAAGAATTCCAAAACGAGAGAACAGCGGGGCCTGCTCTTTGTAAACTGCGAAGTGCCATAAGGAAGGCAGCAAGGCTTAGCAGGGGATGGCTAGGCACACAGCACTGCAACCTGGTGGAATGAAACACCAATGGTGGCTCTTCAGACACCGTAGAAAGACACGGGTGGGGGAGGTAGACTTGAGGTTGGCCTTCCTGTGTTCCTGTTTTGCCTACTTGACCTGTGCATGAGCTGGCCTTCTAATAGCAATTTTTTTTAAGTTTATTTATTTTGAGAGAGAGCAAGAGAGCACACTCAAGTGTGGGAGGGGCAGAGAGAGAGAGAGAGACACAGGATCCCAAGCAGGCTCCACACTGTCAGCACAGAGTCCCATGTGGGGCTTGGATCTCACGAACAGTGAGATCATGACCTGAGGTGAAATCCAGAGTCAGATGCTTAACCAACTGAGCAACCCAGGCGCCCTGTGAGCTGGTCTGCCAGAGACCTAATAACCAGTGCCTCCCCCAAGGGGAGGCCCCACAGAAGCTCGGTGACTGCTCTGGTGCTGGCCCTGACTTTGGTTCCCTAGCTTCCTCCCAACGCATGTGCCCTCGCCCTTTGAGTCCAGACGGTCGCAGCAGGTGGGAAGCAGCTTTGCCTGGTGTGTGGCGTGATCCACACGCTTGGTTCCTGGCCCCAGAATTCGTCACTTTAAAATTGTGCTCTGCAGTTTGCAAAGTGCTTTTAGGTCTGCTGGTGCATTAAATCCTCCCAAAAGCACCGTAAAGTAAGCATCATCCCCAGTTTACAGAAAAGGAAACAGCTCATTTGACTTAGGACATAAATAGTTCATATACGTGCTGGAGGTGGGTGCCAGGGACTTTAAATTAAAACAGGTGACTATTATAAAGATGGAGCATAGAGATGGCAAAGGACTTTTTTATTGAAGAATAAGGTGTCAGTCAGCTATTGCCACAGTAATGCTGCACACCACAGCATATCAGTGTCCAGGAGCTTCAGACGATAATTTTTTTCCTCTTGCATGCAACTTGAATGGCTAGGCCTCCCTTCAGGCTCCAGGCTCCGGGTATAGCTTAATCTGTTCCATGTATATATAATTTTGGGAATCAGGCCACAAATGCAGCCGCTCTCTGAGCTATATCTTCTCATGACTATGGGAGGAAACCGAGAGGGCAAAACCAAACTTCTGGAACACTTTTCCTGTCTCTGCTCATATCACGCCACCTAATCTCCTATTGGCCCAAACAGGTCACATGGACAAGCCCAACATCAATGGGGCAAGGAAGTATACACTGTCCCTAGGGGAGAGACAGCAAAGGATTAAGGAAAATAATGCTATCTACCACGTGTCACATACATCAGAAAAACGCCAAGTCAGTCATAAGCGCAATGAACTTTTACAAGATGCCACACCCGTGTACCATCATCCATATGAAAACATAGAACATTATCGCTACCCCAGAAATCTCCCTTGCACTCCTCACCATGGTGACTGGGATGTGCCAATCACTCTTCACCCCTGCAACCTAACCACTCTTCTGACATCTAGCATTATAGACCAGTTTTGTTTATTTTTTAGACTTTCATAAATGGAATCATACGGTCCCTGCTCTTTTGGGTCTGGCTTCTTTTGTTCAACACTATGCTAGTGAGTGTCATCTATGGTATTGTGAGTTGCAAAGATTTCCTCATTTTCACTGTTATGTCTATTCTATTCTATGAATGTAACCACTGTGCTTGAAGGACATCAGAGTTGTTTCCGGTTTGGCCCTATTGTGAACAATACAGCTACTAACATTCTCGTGCATGCCTTTGGGTGGACATTCCTTTCTTTTCAGTATATACCTAGGAGTAGAATTGCTGGCTCATAGGATGGGGATATATTCGACTTTTATCGATACTGACAAATAGTTTTCCAAAGTGGTCATACCATTTTGCATGCTAACCGGCAGCGGTGAATTCCGGTTACGGAGCCTAAGAATTTAAAGCCATTACGTTGTGCTTAGTCTTCCTTAGGCCTGTGATAGCAACCTTGCAGGCAGGCATAGGATACTAAGCACTTTGTTACACTATTTCACTTAATCCTCACAATGACTCTAAAATCTTGACACTGTCTCTAGTTTACAGATGAGAACGGAGACTCTGAGATAGCCAAGGGAAACAGTTCCCACACCACACACACACACACACACACACACACACACACCGTGGAGCCCACCCTGGGTGTGGAGGGAGTGAGGACCTATACACATACCTGACCAGCACAGCTCCGGGGACAGGTGGCACCCATGGCTAAGCCATCCGCGGGGGATTGTTGTCACAATTCAATGAGCAATGGCTATGTTGTAACTACTTCCCAAGTGAGATCAGGGAGCAGACAGCTTCAGTTCTCTGAGTGTTCAGACAGTTGCTGAAGTGCATCAGTGGTCTCTGTGTCCCGAGGCCTCACCAGCCACCGGACATCTTGAGTTCCTCAAAAGTCGGGGCAAAGGTTTTCTATCTGCAATGTGAGTTTACAAGTTTACCTCTGGTTGAAGTTTCTGTCCGCAGAGCTATCTCATACCAACACAGCTCTCAGCTGTGAATCTGCTCAATGATCATCGTTTCTTCCTAAACCCTCCACGGCCTTCGACATACTACCTCTTCTAGCTGGTCTTACTCTGGGCTGAACTTCCTGCATTTTCAGTATCTTGCTCAGGCAGTATCCACTCGCCTCTTCCCTCTTCCTCTACGCTCCCGGCTGCCACAGGGATGACCTGTTATCATTTCACAGCATTCCCCTGTATCTCATCAGGCCACCTGGCTAATGGTTTTTTGGCACTTTTTAAAAGCTTTCTTTCTCCAGAAGAACCTGTTCATGAAGCGTGCATCTCTGTGCACCTGCTTACCGCAGTATCCCCATTCAGATTTACAAAACAAGTTTGAGTGTTAAAAGCAATCCTTGCTAGGCCTGGAAAATGTCCTCCTCAGTTCCTAAAAGCATTCTTTCGATTCATTCATGTAGTGTTGTTCCACTGAGTGCCATCTGTGTGCCAGGTGGTGTTCTGATGCCAAGGGTCCGGGAGTGGAAAGGGCACAGGTGCCCTTTGCTCTGAAGCAGTTGCCAGTTCTAATGGGCTGAGGCTGGGGAGTCAGACAATACAGAATAAACGAACAAAGGCTTTATCGATTTGAAATAGTGCTGTTTATTTCAAGCAAATGGAAGGCCACTAGGAGGGGATAGCAACCCCTCTGTTTAACACAGATGCCACCCCATGGTTCAGATTGCTTTCCGAAGGGTGATGGGGACAGCTAGTGGTGCTAATGGCTGTGAGCAACGGCATCTCATGTTCCGGGCCGCTCTCCACTTCTGTCCGTCAACAAAGCCATAGCTTTCATATTTCCATTCCTTCCGGTCCCTGTCTTGTGCCTGGTGTTAACATGTGCTAACTTGCAAAAAAGAATGTGACAAAAATGGTCTTTTGCAAATGAGAACAGTCTCCATAGAGAGCTCTTTCTCTTTCTCTATTGCACCTTGACTTCCTCCAGTCCCTTGGGACCTTTGTGACATCTCAGCATCTTAGTAACCATCGCCTGGGTCTCCTTCCCCCAGCTCCTTCCCTGAGCTCAATAAGAACATCAGAGGAAGTTCTTAGGTGCTGTTCTCTCCTGCTAATTAATTGTTCGGGAACTCTGGGCTGCCTCCAAACCTTTGCTCTCGAATGTGCCATTTCCTCAGGCTTAGGATTCTTCTTTTGCTCCCCCAGAACTATCTCCTCAAGTATTTAGCTAAGGTAGAAACGTGTATGTGGATACAGCTCTCAGCAGATGAAGCTTGGGTGTGTGGCTGGCCTCCCAATGAGCCTTCGAGTCTTCAGAAGCTGCGTCGTTTTGAGTTGCTTTATCGTTCTTGGCAAAGTGGCCAGACTGTGTTGAAGAACTTCG